TATCTCGCGCGGTCTGGTGAGTGCTAGTCACCACTTCGATAATGGCCTGGGCTTATCTGCGGGGACCCAGACCCCGGGTGTCTCCCTGCATTTACAGCAGCACCTCACTTTCCACAGCTCTGACACGGCTTCTTCTAGGTTCATTTCTCATCTGTCCTTTCCAAGTGACGTTGAGTCCACACAGCTGCCTCCACCTCATTTTGTCTGTGGCTGCTTCTTTTGGTGTCACTGGGGCTCAAGCCCCAAGCCTTCCCTTTGTTAGGCAAGTGCTGTCCCACTGAGCTACCTAGTCCTTCAGCCCCTCCATCGCTGCTCTCTGGCCTGTGAATATAGGTCGCCTTGGGCTTGAACCTCAGTAGTAAATTCCTTGCTCTTGTTCTAACTTCTGTCCACCCCCTTCCTCTCCTGCGTGAGATTCCTGCCCTATGTACGCAGTCATGTTACTGTCCAGCCCCAAGCTTTCCAGTTTCTGTATTTATAGGATACAGTCGAAACTTCCTGCACAGATAGCACTGCGCTGTGTGACCCCCTTCCTGGCCCCCTCAGTGCTGCTACTTCGAGCTCGTAAGTTAAGTCTCAGAAATATATAAGCACTTCAAGATTCTTTCTGGACTTTTTAATATTTTAAGATTGTAACATGATAAAATTTATAGTTACAGTAGAAATTTACAAGGCTAAAATAGTAATTCATTTTACCAATAAGGTATAACCAATTTTTCTTTATTTTAAAGAGAAATAATAAAATGAAATTTCAAAACAAGATAATAGGATAACAGTGGCAAATTCATGCATATTGTTCTTTAGTTATTCAGAGTACAAGATGTAGTCTTGTAACTGTCCAAACAGTATTAGCATAAACCTTTTTTTAAATTGTTTTTTTTTTTCCCCAGAACCGGGGATTGAACTCAGGTCCTTGAGCTTGCCAGGGAAGCACTTATTCTACTGAGCCATCTCCCCAGCCCCTATCATAAACCTTTTTAAAAATTCTTTTAATTTTCTTTCCTTTTTTTTCCAGTGAACTTAGAGAAATGGGTGGAGTAGCAGTCTTAACTATCATATACATAGCTTTTCCCTTCCTGCTTTTCTCCATCCTATCCCATTCTTTCCTTTTCAGGTTTCTTCCTGTTTTACAGTATCTGTTATACATTTTGGATCTTCTCTTCCAGTTTCTTACACTAGTGAGACAGTGCCATGTTTACACGTGTGTCTGGCTTGTTTCAGTTATAGTGTGCTCTCAAGTTGCGTCCATTTACCTATAAGTCTCCAGTTTATTCTTCTTTCTGGCTGAGTAGTACTCCATTGCACAAAAGAGCATATCTTTCTCCCCTCTCCCTCCTCCTTCCCTTCTCTTTTTTTCTGTAAAGAGACAAAGACTTCCATCTTGGGTGTGCTGCGGCCTCACGCATACTGTCTCAGCCACTGCGCCTCTTCCCAGGGCTCCGTGGCTTTGCCGCACAGACCTTGGTGAGGAAGTGCCTTCTTGCCTTCCACCTCTGTCCCTTCGATTCTAGCTGGAATCCGTGGTCTCCCTGGGGCCTCTAAGTTGGGTAGACAGATTTCAGTCTCTAAGTTGGGTAGACAGATTTCAGTCACTGTGTGCTGTCTCCTCAACAAGCCGTCACATCTTTCTGTAATGATCTGTATTTTTGTCTTTGAACTGAAGGGAAAGTTCCCCAAAGTGGTAATATGTGTGTTTCCAGACATGGCACAAGACCTGATTTAACTGTACCAGGAAAGACCTCTAGAGACAGGAGAGGGAGCCAGGACGTTCCAAGGGAATAGTGCGTTAAGAAAGGAAACCATGAGCGTGAAGCTACCCTGCCTGGAAGCTTCATACTTGGGAGGCTGAGGCAGGAGGATCACTGTGTTGGAGGCCAGCCTGGGCTTCATAGTGAGTTCAGTCAACGCCAGTCTGAACTGCAGGGTAAAGTACTGTCTCAGGAAAATAAAAGGATGCTAATGTAGTAGCCAGTGTTGCTTTGTGTAAGCTCTTTGGTGGTAAACTGTTGCAGCCCAGAAATGAGTGAGTGAATGCACAAGTGGGTGCGAGCAGCCAGATGAGGCCAGGAGAGTTCTGGAGGATCGGACCCGACATGTTGTAGTTTGAGGGTAGAGATGGTGGTTGGGACGTGGAGAGTGGTGTAGACAGCAGTGACAGACCCTAGATCACACACCGCGGAGACACAGGCTGGCCTGGGACAGTGTCTCACTGACGTCACTCCTTGGGGTGGTCTCAGGGCTGTCTCATGTGGAGTGCTGCTGCTGGGGAACTCCTGGGCACTTTTCCTCAGTATAGGAATCACCTGGTGAACAGACCCTGTCCTGAGGTTGTGCTTCTAGGTGTGGGACGGCGTTTGGGGGACTCTGACACAGTTGTCTCCACTGAGTTCTATCACTGGAGGTTTTGAACATGGGACTCTGTGTGTGTCCTGCTGCCTCACACAGAGGAAGGGACCCAGTGCTTTCCAAAGATCGCCAGCCTCCCCGGGAGGCTTTGGCTGCTCATAGTACTTCATATTTTCAGTGTTTTAATTTGAATTTTTCCTATATACCTTTGCAGTACAGAATGATCACGTTCAGTATGGGGAGTTGATACACACACACTCGGTCTAAATTCTTGTTACTTTCCCTTCCTCCTCCTCTTGCCCTTCCGATTCCCTCCTCCTTATTCTTAGCCACTGTCATCTTCTGCTGCTTCTCCGCTTCCCCTAAGCTGGCTTTCCACAGACCCACCGCCAGTGCCTGTCTCCCATCCTGGCCAAGCCCTTGTGGTAGGCTGGGCAGCTGCCCTTCGCCCTCCTGGCTCTGTCCTTGTTCTCTCAGTGGCGCTGCCGCGCTGCTGCCTTGTTCTGCGGGCCTCTGGGCGTGGAGCTCTTCCAGAAGCCCGAGGGTTTCCGATGCCTTTGTTTGGTTCTCAGAGTTTACAGAGGGAAAAGGACAGTGGCCTGTAACATAGTATTCTAAAGGGACAGAGCCTCCGAATATTAGGAAGCATCTTTTGTTGTTAAAGGCTCTGTCTTAGATTCTCTGCATTCTATGGTATTTTGCAAGGTTTCTTAAGGCAGTCCATTAAAGTGGCCTGAAGAAATATGTAGCAGCCCTTATATGGGACAAATATTTGCTCGGCTCACTTGGTGCGGAAACCGTCCCGACGTGCGCTCCTCGCAGGAGTGCGTTTTCGCTGGCGTCCCTTGCTGTGCTGCTGGGGCCAGAGCTCGGCTCGCGGGTTGACTCCGGATTACACCTTTTTAGGCAGGATCTTGCGTGCCCAGCTTCGGTGCGTCCTTGGAAGCCCTTGGTGATCCCGAAGGCATCTGTGAACTCCAGCCTACCAGAACCTGCGGGCCTCGGCCCCCTGCAAAGGGGGAGCTGCGCCCGACGCCGGCCTTCTGGACCCCCGCGAAGCGGGAGACCAGGGCAGTGCGCGTGCGCGGACCCGCCTGCGGACCCCGCTGCAGCAGCGGCTGGGTCGCACCACGCCAGCGCGCAAACTTTTTCCTTTTGAAAGGAAATTTCCCAAGCAAGAAAATCCACATGGTTAAGCTGGGATACAATTGTTTATATCAAGCAAGCCAAAAGAAAAGGACAGTATAGCAGTTTAAAAAAATAAGACAGGAACTTCGTTGCCCTAGAACTGTCTTGTCCAAGTCTCTCAGATTACTTTAGGAGTTGTTCAGCGACATACCTCTCGCGTTGAAGTGCGAGTTACTTCCAGAATTATTCTATCGGTCTTAATTTTTCTGCGTTTTGTTATTTTTATGGCTAATAGTCCGTAAAGTTGATGCAGTTAGATTTCTATTATCGCACAATATAGGATGTTTGCGTTTTCTTCTATTAGAAATAGTGAGAACCATAGCAAATATGGGTGTATATCCCCTTTTGTATTTTCACTGATAGTCTTAATAATTCATTCTCCTGAGGGTAAATTCCCAGTAGTTGAATTACTAAATTAGAGACACTTTTAATGTCCCTCTCTCCCTCTCTCCTTCCCTCTCTTTCCCTGTGTGTGTGTGTGTGTCTGTCTG